AAAAGAAACATCTAATATTAGATTTCATTGATCAAAAATTATTTTTAATAAAAAAGAGAAAATATATTTTGGAACATAATTTACAGTGTCTTAATGTTTTAGAATATGATTTTACTTTTAATCTATTAAGATTATTTTCTTTTGAAAGCTAGATAAAAGTTCATAGAAACAGGAAAAAGTTAAACGTAAAGATATAAATTCATTGATTATAATTCTTCTTAATGCATATTATTTTATATTTGATTACTAACTGTTTATTGCATCGAAAACATCATAAATACTACTAAAAACTAGAATAGATGTCGCCATTTCCTTTCTAAATAGTTTTGTTGTGTTGTTTTTTTATTTATTTACAAATTAATCAGAAACGATTGGTCTTTTTTTTTGTTTTGAGATCAATAATTCTCAAGTTTAAAGATTCTTTTGCGTCATGGAAATATAGGTTCAATGTCATGGCGAAAGCAGACGTAGTTTAGCTGTTCCTCTGATCAATGGTTGAGTTCCGCTTCAGACCCTCCCCTCGAAAAAGTGACTCTTCGTCAGAATGATCGAAATTAAGATAAATGCATGGAAAGATAGTCCGTAATCTGATCTTTCTTAAACGACAAAAATTTTTACTCGGCATCACATTTTTTTTCCAAAAATTTTTGAAGAAACAGAAAATCTTTTTCGTTTTTTCCTTAGTTTATAGTTTCTTGATCGTCGAATCCAAATTTCTCTATCGATACTCATTCTAGATATGTATTTTTGTTTGTTTGAAAGAGCACGTCAAGACGCAGTGCAGTACAAAATCCTTTTTGTTTTTTTTATTAAGCTTTGGTTTTACTATATATATGTCACAGTTGACATGGGGATTTAGTTGAGTTTGGAATGCGCGAAAAAAAAATATAGAAAAAAAAGAGAAAATAAAATTAAACCTAAATAGAGATCTGAAAATAGAAAAAAAAAGAGAGAATAGAAATAAAATCGTTTTCTTCCTCAATAAATCTATTTGATTCAAATTGAATATTATTAGAATATTATGAATGGCTTTATATAAAAATTATGATATTCATACTATTTTCTTTTTACAAAAGACTTTTTCATTTTTTTTTGTATTTGTAAAGTTGTATATAGATGATGTTTATAAAGATTGTATTAGATTGATATTGATAAATAAACAATTTATAAAAGCTTGTATTCGAAAATATTTTTATGTATGAAATCTATGTGTCACCATCATTTGTCTCTTTTATGGTTTCTTAGTAGAGGTTCTTTCCTACGAAACGAAAATTTAGTGTTATCGCTATGATAACTTTTTTAATTAAGTTATTTCATGTGTTGTTTCATCTTAAATTATCAAATTTAAATTTCATGGAAATATTTATTTCGAAATTAAAGTCATACATCAATAATCTTGATGAAAAAAAAAGAGAAAAATATACGATTAACAATGACATGTATTACAAAATGATGAAAGTTTTAAACTCTGAAGATGTAGATGTGTCTTCAAAATTTAAATTCTGGATTCGACATACATTTTATTTAATGAAAATCGGATCAACCAATTTAATATATAATAAAAAATCTAATTTGCCATTGATAACACTAGAAAATATGTATGAGAAAATTAATAATTGTCACACGACCGTCGGCCATTCTGGTCGATAACATCTTTTTGGAATAATATGATTAAAACAAAAAATTTCATGGCCCGCATGTCCCACTTAGAAAAAAAATCTATCTATTTCATAGGAAAAAAAGAAATTCTCTATTTTTATCTAATACAAATTTCAATGTCCCGCTTAGAAAAAAAAACTATCTATTCATAAGAATAAAAGAAATTTTCTATTTTTATCTAATACGAATTTCAATGTCCCGCTGATCAAAACAAAAATCTATCTATTTATAATAAAAAAAGAAATTCTCTATTTTTATCTAATACAAATTTCAATGTCCCGTATGTCCCGCTTAGAAAAAAAATCTATCTATTTATAATAAAAAAAGAAATTTTCTATTTTTATCTAATACGAATTTCAATGTCCGGCATGTCCCGCTGATCAAAAAAAATCTATCTATTTATAAGAAAAAAAGAAACTTTCTATTTTTATCTAATACGAATTTCAATGTCCCACATGTCCCGCTGATCAAAAAAAATCTATCTATTTATAAGAAAAAAAGAAACTTTCTATTTTTATCTAATACGAATTTCAATGTCCCGCATGTCCCACTCATCAAAAAAAACCTGTCTATTTATAATAAAAAAAGAAACTTCATTTTTTTCAAAATAAAATTCGATGTCCCGCATGTTCCGCTTAGAAAAAAAATCCATCTATCTTACAAATAAAAAAGAAAATCTCTATTTTTATCTAATACAAATTTTAATGTCCCGTATGTCCCGCTTAGAAAAAAATCTATCCATCTTATAAATAAAGAAGGAATTCTCTATTTTTATCTAATACGAATTTCAATGTCCCGCATGTCCCGCTGATCAATAAATCTATCTGTTTATAAGAAAAAAAGAAACTTGCGTTTTTTTTTTTCAAAATAAGATTCAATGTCCCTCTTAGAAAAAAATTTATCTATTTATAAGAAAAAAAGAAACTTTCTATTTTTATCTAATACCAATTTCAATGTCCGGCATGTCCCGCTGATCAAAAAAATCTGTCTATTTATAATAAAAAAAGAGACTTTCACTTTTTTCAAAATAAAACTCAATATCCCGCGTGTCCTGCTTAGAAAGAAAATCTATCTATCTTATAAATAAAGAAGGAATTCTCTATTTTTATCTAATAGAAATTTCAATGTCCCGCATGTCCCGTTTAGAAAAAAAATTTATCTAGTTAGAAGAAAAGAAGAAACTTCATTTTTTTCAAAATAAAATTCAAAGTCCTGCATGTCCCCTTTATAAAAAAATACGTGTATAATCAAACAAAGATAAATAAGCAACATATTACTTTCTCCTTATATTCTATATAAACTTTTCTTTGAAGCTAATAATATATCTTAAATCAGTGATATTTTTACTTTATCTTTCAGACAAAAATATAACTTATCTATTATTTCTGAAATAATTACTTACACATTTACCGATTCTACTTTCTTCTCTATAAATTAGAAATATAGATATAGATTTTATTTTTGTATTTATATCGATTCCAATCTCAACTAAATTCTCTAATCAACTGCAACATATATATTCTGATAGAGAAAAAAATTCTGCGTCGAAGGAGCCTATTTCCAACGTGTTTTAGACGGATAATAATGGTCTTATAAGCCAAAAACTGATTTTTATGCCTGTCTTGAATGGTCTAGATTTTTCTTATTACTCGATGAATTTTGAAAAATAATATGACATTCGTAATCAGAACACTGAGTTCTATCGATTTATAAATGTGAAAACTCAAACGAAAACAAAAAAAGTTTTTCGAATACCTGAGGGGTACCCCAGGCACAAAAAACTGACCTATCATGAAAAATGAAATAAAGTTGTGGAAAACGATCACAATCCATCAAGCTATTAAAATGGAAATCAGTTTTTGTTTTATGCACACTCATACACCAATTTCGGTGGAAGTGTTGTTATTAGGGACAAAAATTAGCTTGGTGTTGTTATTAGAGTCACCTATTTTTTGGACACTGTTAGACATGTTCCTTTTAGATTTTGTATCTCATTAAAGGAAATTTTTTTTCTCATGAACCTTTAGATTTAGATAGAGTTCGACATGCTCTACAAAGTTGTCAGCGGAGTCTCTGCTTGTTTTCCAAAGAAAACGCGTGAAAAGAAGTTTTTTCTCTCAAAAAGTCTGGTTTGGCTTAAATTTTGCTTAAGTGTTGTTACTAGGGACAAAAAATAGCTGAGTGTTGTTATTAGGGAAACTGTCCCTAATAGCAACAGTAGCAGTTCGTTACGTAGACTGCTGATTTCTCCGCCATTACATTTCAGAGAAAGACCGCTGTTATACCATTTGAAAGAGGAGACTCCATAGATTACACATATATAAAAGTATTTTCAGTCGAGTGTAAAATAGCTGAGAACCGAGTCGAATAAGGAAGAAAATTTTTTTAGTGTTGTTATTAGGGACATTGACTGTATGAAATTGATCTATAGGGAAATACAATTAGATAAATTTATTCGATTTTGATATGCATAGTCGATCTCAAAATAGGTGAGTTTTGAACAGGTATCTTGTATAAATACATGATACAAATAGTGTTACATCCAAGTAAGTAATCGATTCAATTCATTATTGAAAATAGCTTCAAATTGTTGTTCACAAAGATTAGTATGAATCCGTAACCATTGCTCTGCATTTGTTTTCAGCCTTTCATCAAAATTTCCGTCAATACATAAACCAATAAGTTTATATTCTTTGAATTCTTTCAACAGACATAATATCATTGATTGACTTGAAAGTGGTGATATGACTTCAGAATTTTGCTCATATGATTGTAAGGATAAGTTTTCTTCTGAACATATTTGTGTGTTTAATGGTGGATGCGTTATATCAACATATAAATCACAGAGACGAGAGAAAACAGAAGCGATCGTAGGTATATGTTCTTCTTTGAGGTTTATTGTTGATCTTGGAGTATCAGTTCCTAGGATAGAAAGTGACATAATACGTTGACGAAGAAGATCAGTAATTTGTTGATCTTCCATTAATTGTAATAAATAATCAATAGGCATATCCAAACGAAAAAGATTAGATGCAGCATTAAGTATGAGTAAAAAATGATCGAGATCGGACAATATTGAACCACGGAAAACGATTTGAGTTAACCGAGATAATTTAGAAAGACGTGATGCTGGTTGTTGGTCCTCTAAAAATAAGAAAATTAGACTGTGTTTAATTTTATCAAAACTACGTTGTCTTTTCGCTTGAACAAATGAAATGATTAAAAAGATGGATCAAGATATTGGTAAAAAAAGTACTTCGAAATCTTCGAAAACTAAATAATGTAATTTGGTCGAAAGCTTCCAAATGTAGAAACTCATATGAGCACTGATCGCAATCTATGGTGAACTTGAAGAACATGAATTAGTCGAGCAAAACTAGGGTGTATTTTCTCTATACTCTTCAAAATATAGACCAGTTAGACTATGAATTGTGTATGTATAATGTTCAGTGTGTGTGTCTATTCAGAACAGAACTCTTCTATAATCAAGTCGAACTTAAGGTACAGATTTGAAGTTTTACAAGAGTAAAGTAGCCGTGCAATATGCACAGAACCTTGCTAGTAGTAAGTAAACTAAAAATAAACTACTACTTCTAACAATATCATTAATGATAAAGTTGCATTTACCTAAAATGGTAAAATTAACATAGTTAATAAAATTTTTCAACATCCGATAATGTATTCATACGTTCGGGTTTGTATTCAGTAAAAACTAAATCAAAAGAAAAAATTTCATGGTTCACTATAGTAACTTTAAACACAAAAAATAAATAATCAAAAAGCGGAAAGATTAGTGACATCCAGAAAAAATGGATCATTTTCGAAAATACCGAAGGTTCACCTAAGAGTACTTTTAGCAATTAAATATATACCTAAGAAAT